CTCTTCCCTCATTTTGTTTTCCACTTTTATGTGACCTTGTTGGCGCAGCCGGTCCGATAGTTTGCTGCATATCCGAGGATTCTGTGAACAGTCTGTGTCGCTGCTACCGGAAAAAAAACTGAGGGAATATAAAATGAAACAAGTGCGGGGGCCAAGTCCCACTAGCAGCGTTGAGCTACCTCAAGGCCTGAATCTGGACGCTTTTGTGGAGATGTGCAGAAATGGTGTTGAGTTTCCTGAACTGCACGTCTCCACAAGCACGTCCAGATTCAGGCGCTGAGGTAGCTCAACGCTGCGAGTGGGACTTGGCCGCCGGGGAAATGTTAGATAGAAAGAACTGAATGCAACTTCTGGGCAAGCTTGATGTTCTACCAGCTAGAGATAACCGGTTGGCCCCCCAAGCCAGCATTGGCAGGACCTTGGTTGATGTTGTTGGTTGCTATCCAGCTATAATATTGGCCATTAGACACGGCCATGTGGGGTTTGGGGCGGGGGGGTAGGGGGAGGTGTAGTGACTGGCCATTGCTCGGCGCTAGCACCGCAGATTTCCCCCATCGGCAATGCCTGCCCACCCCTCGTCACCGTGATGAGGGACTGGTACAGCCTTGCTCTCGCACCACTGCTGTGATGCCAACCTACCCCATGGGCTGGGGAGAGATCCGGGTTGGTTGGTGTTCCCCCGTGCTACACATACACTAGTGAGAGGATGAGATAGATGAGTACTCGCAAGAAAAATGAGATAGATGAGAGAATAATATAGCTTTTTTGGGAAAAAAAAAAAAAAAAAAAAAAGATAGAACTGCTGTATACTTTGCGGCCCTGCGTGTGTTTCCTTTTTTTCCTAATAAAATGGGATTTCACCGACTCATCATAAAAAGGTGTACGGCTTGTTGACTACGCAGTCCCACTGCAGTATGTATGTCAAATGAGTCAAACACAAATCGCTACGTACACTCATACTACCCCCTGCAGTGATTTTTTCGATCGCCGCGCTGGGTGGGACTGCCTCTGTACCACCCCTTTTTCTGCAGTGGGGGAAAAGAAGGCTATTATTATAATAATAGTATATAGCTGGTCAGCGGGGCTGTGCGCTGTGTGTACTAACCCCCTGGACGAAGAAGAAAAAGGAAACAAGTCCTTCCGGACATCTGTTAAAATTGGAACGATACAGAGAAGATTAGCATGGCCCCTGCGCAAGGATGACACGCATAAATCGAGAAATGGTCCAAATTGAAGGGAAAAAAAAAAAAAAAAAAAAAAAAAAAACAGGAAAAAAAAAAAACGGAGTTTGGTCAAACGTCGCACGTTGATATGGGAATGGATATCGGAAATAAACAAAAAAAGGAATCTGCTCAGAGTCCCACCTGCAGGTTGGGAGCAGCCCCCGCATGTTCTCTCGTCAACACGGGGCAAGGTCCCATTTGCGCAAATTAGGAGATTTCGGCCGTTGATCTTTGCTATCTACGGTCAGTATCTCTTAATTCGTGCAAGTGGGACCTAGCCCACGGTTCTGGCTGCTCCGGGCTTCCCCGTATGCCTACAATTAGGAGTAGTGGTAGGTAGGTCGGTAGTGTGAGGTGAAATTGAGAGAAGAATATAGCTTTTAATAATAAAAATAAAAATAATAATAATAAAGAAATAGACATACTTGAAAAAAGGAAAAAAAAGAAAAAAAAAAAGACATACTTATACGCATAGACCTGCCTAGTATGCTAATCGATAAGCTAGAGACTCAGTACAGACCTGCCTATGTACGCGTCGGTATATTCCTCTATCCTAGTGCCGACATATAGACTTGCGTACGGGCACTGTATATAACAGCCATTTCGTCAAAATTGAGCACTCAAAAAAAAAAAAAAAAAAAAAAAAAAAAAAGAGCAACCGAAAATTCTCTGCTGAGTGCCCCTCCTTGGATGTAAGCGGGTCCAGCCCTCAGCACAGAAAATTTTGGGTAGTTTTTAGGGCTAAAAATAGGGAGCATTCAATTTTGAATTTTGTTTCGTCCCGCGCTTTCTGACGACGCTGCTGGACACGCGGGAGATAAATAATTTTGAGGCAATTCAATCTGAGTTTGTTCATCAATATAAAACCTCCACTTTGGACGAAACAGCTGTTATATAGATTGGTTACTGTTTTTTTTTTTTTTTTTTTTTGGGGGGGGGGGGGGGACAAGGCTCCAATCTATTCGTGGGGAATTGTCAATAACCTGCAGACAGAGGCTGGCAATAATAGACATAGCAGTGGTACAGTATAGGTGCATATTATGACATTGCTGTGCATCTATAAATATAGATGTTGACGTGTAGACAGACGTATAGTTATATATCCAATGCCTATAGAATCTAGTATCGATCCATATAACTGCCCTCCCTTTTTTTTTCCTTTCAAAATGGAAATTTTAGTACGCGCCCAGTGCCCAAGGCAGCAGTACAACAAAGATAGTGTCAAAATTTCAGGCGCCGCAAAGCTCCCTCTGCCGTTCAGCCCCGGCCGTGCAGGTCTGTAGGCATAGAAATATCATTCAAATATGTGAATTTTTATTATTTTTCCGAATTACTCCTTTTTTTTCCTTTTTTTTTTTTAATAATTTGGACCATTTCTCGATTTATGCGTGTCATCCTTGAAAGCGCGGGGGCCATGCTCTAATCTTCCCTCTCTGTATCGTTCCAATTTTAACGGATGTCCCGAAGGACCTCTCTTTGTTTCGGCTTCAAATTGTGTTTTTTTTTGTTTTTTTTTTCCTTCTTTTGCTTTTTTTTTTCACAGTGTAATATGAAATTTCAGAATGTTCTCTCTAACATTTATAAATAACTTTTTCCCAATGTTTTGTTCTTTCTGCCCTCCACGAGCTATAATTGAATGGCGCAGTGACGAAGGCAGTTCAGACGCGGTTCGCCCAATTCAACCAAAAAAAAAAAAAAAAAAAAAACATAAGACGGGCACTACTACTACACAGTTATATTACAAAAAAAAAAACGTTTGG